TATTAAGTGGTCGTAGTGCTGTTGAATCCCATGTTGGAGATGGACAACACATAGTTGAGTGGGTGAAGAGAAAGATGGGAAGCTTTGAACCAGCAGTATCAATACTAGACACAAAGCTCCAAGGTCTACCAGATCAAATGGTGCAAGAGATGCTTCAAGCACTAGGAATTGCTATGTTTTGTGTGAACTCTTCCCCAGCAGAACGCCCCACTATGAAGGAAGTGGTTGCACTACTAATGGAGGTGAAGAGCCAGCCTGAGGAGATGGCCAAGACCTCTCAACCTCTAATAAAGCAGTCCTCAAATCAAAGCTGATTTATTTTTTTCTTCCTTATTTTCTTTTCTTTCTTTCTTTCTTTTACTTCCAATGGTTAGTATTTGATTTTCATCTCTTCCCAGATGAAAACAAGATGCTGTTAGTGTGGAAACTTGAGAGTAGGAAGCTAGAGAGGAACTGATGTTTTATTCAAACGGCTATTGTTGTACAGTTTTAGAAGTATAGATTATCAGTTTATCTGCAGTATGTGATTGTGAAGTAGTAGTAGTAGTAGTAGTAGTAGTACTTGTGTTTCCCCATCTTTTACTGCTGAATAACAATTCTCCCTCATGTCATCTTTTCAAGCTGCTGATCAATTTCATACTGAATTGCCAAACACTTAATAGTTGGCTGAGTGGAATTTAGATTTCTTGTCATTCATGCTAGTTGAATGGTCCCAGTTTTTCTGCCTTAAATTCTGTTGATAATTCCTTTTCACAACTTTATTTCTCATATAGAAAAAGGGTACAAGAGAACGAGAGCCGAAAGGTATGTGGGGCTGGCTGGAAAAGTAATAAACCTGAATGGCCTATAAGAGGGAATGAATTGACTGTGTTATCATAGACAGATTAATGATAAAAAAATGAGAAAAGGAGAATCACCAAAGCATGTTGGGTTGTTCCAACTTAACCAATAAGATGGACTTCGAATTCCAATTGTGTTAAATATTTGATTCAGCTTAACCATTCCTGCAATTGTGTTAAATATTTGAAAGGGAGAATTTTGTCATCCATGTTAAAAGATTGTTTCACATAATTTAGATCTATAATAATAGTCTCACATGATCTGGAACCATAAAAATTGGCTGTAAACAAGACGGATGCTTTTTATGCGGAGTAAATTAATGTTTTAACCATGCAATTTTTTTGAGTTTATATTATTTAATCTCATTATTTAAAATACATTCTTTTTTTTTTTTAATTAAATTAAATTTAATGAAATTAAAAAATATAATGTGGACAGTGATGCTTACAGATAAAGGAATGAAGTGTAATCATTGATGCATACATGTTATCGAGGGTCAAGGGTGGGGACCAAGATTGCAGCGTGTTAGGAAACAAGCCATGCTTCCCTCTCCTTCTCCCATATGTCTTTAGCAGACACTATATTTATCTCCCATTTCACATAATTCCTGTACTTCCCCATACCACAGCTTTTATTTTTCAGACAGTGTTTGTCAAAAAGTAGATACGTCATGTTCATCACTTTGCTCTCTCACTCTCTTTCTTGTCTTGCATTCATCCCCTCTAACCCTTTGTAGGATAACAAATTTTGTCAATATTAAAAAAAACAAAATGTCATAGTAAAGTAGATTTGTGTTTCTTTCATTATCCGTAGGAAACAATTTACAGCTTTTTTACTTTGAAGTTTTAATAAATGGATTTTCTTTCATAATCCTTTAAATCACACAAGTATTTTGAACCGTTTGGGGTGACATGGGAGCCACGTATGTAACTCCAAGTGGCTGTGAATACAAAGGTTCCTTAGACAGCAATAGTATGAACTAAAGCTAAACAAGGGGTCCCAGGTGCAGTGTGTAACACGGGGTGGGGTGGGGGTTGTAAACGGCTACGGTGGCTCTCCAAGTTACGTGATAACGGCTGACACCATAGTGATCGTGTCCTTCATAATGTAGACTGAGACAATATTTATAGATCTCACCAAGGAAAGGGAGAGGAGGAAGTCAACTGTTATGGGACGAGGTAGCCTGGCCTTGCAAGTGCAAGGCCCTTTGCAACTATTGTGCTGGGAGAAAATGAAGGAAAAATCCTTAAGAATATATTCCTGATACCTGGGAAGGCAAAAGGGATGAGGAACTTCCCAAGTCCCAACATAAGCCATTTTGGTGTCTTACGTTGGGATATCTGACAGCAGCGCAGATGATAGCGGCGCTGATGCATCAGAGGTGGGAGGCCTTATATGTGGGCCGTCCTAACTTGGCTAGTTAATTAGGCTAGCCAGGACATATTTCATTTTTATATTCTGCATTTTCCGCTGCAATAATTCCTCTAATATACCGTAATGTTCTTGTTTTATGCTAATTATTAGCTGTTCAATATATCAAGCAGGACCCAAAATGCTTGTGCTTATGAGAAGATATATAATAGTTTACGAAGACATCCGTATAAGGGCAAACATTTTCTACATAAAATTTCCGATATTGAGAATTTTCTGGTTCTTTCGTATCCTAAAACTCGAAACTTATAGCATACAGTTAATTAAAGTGAATGGATCACATCCAGCAAACAAGGGACAATATTGTGCACATTATACATTGAATACATTTGACATAATTACTATAAAGGAAAACATAAAATACAAAATAAATCTAATATAAAAAGATAAAGCAATAATGTGGGCATTATGAGATGTATCGAGTCTCTTTGGTTTTGATGTTACATCCTTCGATATCAAATTACAATAATATTATTCATTTGCAGTCCTGATAATATTTACATTAGTTAGGGTCACTTCCATAAGTTTTAAACTATTTGTTAAACGAGGGTCACCATATGATTTTTTCTGGTAAGCGCATTCGAAAGGTTAATCTAGAGATTCAAATTTTTTATGGACAATTTTAGAGGCACATCTCCACATAGGCGGAAATTTTTTAATATGCTCCAAGAGTATAATATATAATACTGTTTGGTGGTCCTTTATCAAAAAAAAAAAATATTTTCTTCCATTTATATCCCGTGCTTCCTTTTAAATTCCCTCACAATTATTTTGCCCCTTTATATTTGGAAAGGGAGCACAAGCTCCGCGAGCACAAAAAGAGCTCCATAAGCGGGCCTAGTACACATTCAAGAGAATAAATTCCTTTTAGAGCTAACCCAAGGTTAGGTTACCATATGATTTAACAATAATTGCAAAATTCTTTGCAATGTACACCAGTTTTAAAATGGATCGTTTAACACCCTGGAAAAATGAGTCTTTTTGTCTCTCTGTAACATGACATATTAGTTCATAAGGTTATCACTTATCAGAATTGAGAATTTTACGGTTCATCCATATCCTCATGATTTATAGCATAGTTATTATTTTCAAGCGAATGTAGCAACAAGGGGCTCCTAGGGCTACAGCACATAATGTAGGACGCTATTTTGAAATTATGGAGCACAAAACAGTAAATATATTTGACAATTGACATATATTTATCTTACTACAATTCCAATGACTGATATAAAATCAAAACAACTTATTTTCATGAAAAATAAGAGATGCTTAGAATATCAGTAAGAGATGCTGACAGAATCTAACTGCAAGAAGGAATGGGTCTTGAATCAGAAACAGATAGAACAGAGTAAGGAAAAGGAGGGAGCTTAGCCAGAGCACACCCTCCATGGCTCTGGTAGAAGGCAAGTCCCCATGAAAAGGATGGAAAGACTCGTGGGGAAAAGAAAATGTAAGATGCCAACAAGAGAGAGTTGGAACTCCAAGGAAAAATAGCTACAGGAAAACTAACAGAGAACTAATCCATATGTTTGAGAAGCATAGGAGGCTGTTCATTTGGGTTTAGGGAAACACAAGGAGTAATGGTGCGCAAAGTCTTGTAATGAGCAACATAGCTTACTAATAATAATTATCTATGACTTATAGAATATCTTTCTTTCTTCATATTATCAACCATCAAACACATAAATCACGCCCTATAAAATGTAAGCAGTGACCAATAATCCATAAACTAAGTCAGTTCAAGTAAAATCTGCCAAAATCAACTAAAGTTGGATCCAGGAATTCCTTTGGACATGAAGTCCATCTGTGACTTAGGGAATGACTTAAATTATATGGAACTCAAATAAGATTAAGATTTCATGTTAGTCACAATTTTCTTTCTTTATTATAACATTATGTAACTAAAGCTTACTGAGGTTGTAGAGATATGTGGAAGTTATGTCAATAAGATAGCACCAGACTACATAACTTCTGTATAACACTTTGTTCACTCTCACTAATTGGATAACCTTAATATGTTAATCATCACAATACACCACTTAAGTAGCAAGTAGCAACACACCGAACAGCTGCAAATGGCACATGTGAAGACTCAAGACTTGAGGATCTAAAAATGTTTGGCTAATTTACTACGGTGAGTAACATGTGCATAGACAGGACAAAAAGTTAATGTTGATATGTTATAAGCAAATTACCCAATTTTTCATCCCCGAGCAGTGTCTCACACTGGAACAAATCGTTAGCGCAATCGTTGCACCACAGTAGTATTATAACTATGTATTCTAAAAAGTATATAGTTATAATTTTAAAGTTATTTTTTTTCTCTCTACGTCAGCCAGCCGACAAGTTTTCTGAAAAAAATTTGAAAAGAGAGAAAAAATAACTTTAATTATGTACTCCCTAGAGTACATAGTTATAAATACCACCAGTGAGTACACAGTGCAACTGTTGCACTAAAAATTTGTTCCTCACACTGGGTGAGATAGATGTAAACCACAAGTGGAGTCGTTTACATCAGTAGAGTGTAAGAGTATCATTACTCAAATAAGTACATTGATTGTTACTTTCAATTTGTCCATTCCTATTGTCTTATAAACATCTTAATCTTCTAGTTTCTTTATCTATATAATCACTAACAGAAAATCCCATTCATTCAATCGAATAATGTAAACGAAGGTGATATCAAACAAAAAAAACAAGAGCAAACGCTGCAACAAGAATGCCAAAAGAATAGCAACAGCCCTTTAAATAAAGAAGAACTTCAATAGTCACTCTTCACAAATAAGTCATTGAGAGGTGGCTTCCAATGCATTTATTCAAAATTACAGCCAATTAAACACCCTAAAAATCTGTCACCTACATCCTTTGAGTTGAAGTAGAATACTACCATAACTCATAACCATCAAATATTAAAATCTCTTACTCATCCAATTGTTGAAGTTCAGCTTTCAACTGTTCAATCTTGAGACCCATAGACCTCTGCAAAGCTCCTCTATCCTTCTCTGGCAACCTAGCCAACAACCCTTCGAACATGCTCAGAACTTCATTGACGGCAGCACGGGCACACTCGGCTTCTTCATCGAAATACACGGTGTCTTTGGACTCCAAAGCCATCTCTATCTCTTCCCTTGCTTCTGCAAACTTGAGGTTGATGGTGTCCACCTCCTTGTTATGATCCAACTCGCTGGACCCACCACTGAAACTCCTTAGATCATGCCGAATCGCGAAGTGGGTTCTCGTGATTTTGGAAAAAGAGTGGAACTTTGATGTGGGCATGATGTGAATCGATGGAGGGAAAGGAATCGGTGAAGTGGGTATTGGGGATGGGCGAAAAGGGTGCCTAATTCTGAAGAACATGAGTGAAAGATTCGCTCGTCGACTCATTCTGTTATATTCACAGAAGCAGCGGCGACACACACACAGAGAGAGAGAGAGAGAGGCGCTTAAACCTTAACGTAAAGGAAGAAGGAACTCGCAACTCTCAAAGTGAAAAGACGCTCAGGTGCCCCAAGCCCCCGACTCAACAAATCCAATTTTCATTAGTGTTATTTTGAAGAAGTGTATCTTATTTTAAAAGGAATTAAATTTGTGTTATTTTAAGAGAGAGATAAATGAGGAGATAGTTGATAAAAAAAAAGTGTGTGTCTTATGTTGTAGGAGAATTCTAGTCTCATGTCATAGATATATCAAGTATGAAACCTATCTATTTAAAAAAACAAACAATAAAAAAAATGAGCGCCACATCTTTTTATGATGTGTATAAGAAGAGTTTGTTTTTACAATGCAAAGAAAAATAAACCCCTTAAAACAATGTTTTTTTTTTCTTATCAATGTTTGCGAAATTTTGTTTCGTATTAAATTATTAGGGATGTTCTGTTGAAGATTTCACAAAATATATTGTGGTTAGATAATAATCTTGGCTCGCTTTTACATTTAATATTTTTTGTTTTTTGTGGGTAAGTGTTTTGAACTTAAAAGTTAGAATCACTGGGTGTGTATTATGTGCTTGAAAAAGGCTCATGAAGAGTACTTATATATAGAAGTGGTAGGATATGGTATTGAGTTATAGTGTGGATTTGATTCTTACTTTAGGGAAGTATATACTTATCATCAAAAAAGTTTATCACATTTACAACCAACTTAATCACTGTTAATTTTTGTCAATCTATTAATTATAATTTATTAGAAATTATTGGATCGCATTTATTAATAATTATTAATTCTTAATAAATTATAATCGATTGACGAAAATTAACATTGATTAGATTAGTTGTAAAGATAATATACCTTTTTAATGATAAGTATATTCTATACTCTAACTTTACGCCTGTCAGGCAATAGCTCTAAGGCCAAATAGATGTTATCTGCCATTAAGTTTGTGGCTCAATTGGCACTAGTTCAAATCTTGACTTTGGATTGATGTTAAATGTTTGACTCTTTTGTCAGGCCACTTTTTCTTCTGTGTCAGGCAATGTCAATTTCACAAGTACGAGACAGGGAGTTCCAACCCACTCGTGGCATTAGATAGGGAGATCCTTTATCCCCTTATCATTTTGTTTTATGCATTGAAAGACTGGCTCATCTAATCATTCATGTATTAAACAATAATCAGTGGAGACCTATTATTCTAAGGAAGCATGGTCCTCCGATTAGTCATTTATTTTTTGCAGATGACCTCCTCCATTTTGCGGAAGCGTCTCATTCACAAAATTCTCTCTTGTTTTTGTCTAGCATCTGGACAAAAAATTAATAATGATAAATCAAGGGTACTCTTCTCCAAAAATGTCAACCATGTTAGAGCCGCGAAGATAGCTAACACCATTAGGTTCTCTGTGACATTTGATTTAGGGAAGTATTTGGGCATACCGCTGTTGCATGATCGTGCTACTGCATCCTCCTTCAACTATATCATCCAGAAACTGGATTCCGGACTATCCAACTGGAAAAGAGGAACGTTATCCATGGCTGGAAGATCAACTCTAGCAAAATCGGTGTTAGCAGCTATTCCATGCAGTCTTGCCTGCTTCCTATGAAGACCTGCGATGATATCGAAAAGCGGTCACGCGACTTCTTTTGGGGGTCTTCTCGGGACAGTCAGAAAATCCATATTGTGGCTTGGAACAAAGTGTGTCAACACAGAGACAAGGGGGGCCTGGGATTCAGAAGAATGAGAGGGGTTAACCAAGCTTTTCTTATGAAGGTGGGCCATGGTTTGCTAACTCAGAAACATTTCTTTTTTGGGCTAAAGTTCTAAGAAGTAAGTATGCTGTTGGGGAAGACATCATTCCCAAACTGAATCAAGCTAGATGTCCTTCAAATCTATGGAGAGGGATCTTGAAAGTATGGCCAAAGGTAATTGCGGGTTCCAGGATTCAACTTGGAGATGGGAAGAGAACAAAATTCTGGTGTGATCCTTGGTTATTTGATAAATCTTGCATACAACCAAAAAATGCAGCTCTACTCACGGAAGAGGTCTCCAATTGGACAGTGGATAGACTAGTTGACTGTGACGGTAACTGGAATTGGAATTTGTTAAACCAATATGTCTCTGTCCATTCTTGTGCAGCAATTGCTAATATCATGCCCCAAGTGCTATTAATGGAGAAGATTTAGTCATCTGGGGCAACACCAGTGATGGTGTCTTCTCGGTCAGATATGCCTACTGCCTACTTCAAGAAGAAGGTCAGATGCCAGGTAGTCCTGTTGTTTTTAGCCATTGGAGATGGAAGGGACTAGCTAGGATCCAAATGTTCCTATGAAAAGCTTTAGGTGACCACCTCTTAACAAATGTGGAAAGAGCTAAGAGACACTTGTCAACCTGCACTCTTTGCCCCAGATGCAACATGGCCCCAGAAGATCTTATTCATATTCTCAGAGATTGTAATTGGAGTAGAGGCATTTGGAACCGATTTCAGAATCACTCTCTCAAACCCGATTTCTTTGACAGCAGCATACAGGACTGGATTCGGCAGAATCTCACTTCAGACAAGGTTTCATACTCTCTTTTGGACTGGAACTTGTTGTTTGGAGCTACCATTTGGCACATTTGGAGAGATAGAAACGATCTGATTTTTAACCAGAAAGTTTACAGCCAAGAATCGGTCATCCGAAGAGCAAAAATTTATGTTTCCAACGTTAAGGAGGTAGAAAATGTAATAGGGTCGGTTGGGACGAAAATAAGTTCCACTTGTGAGAAACTGATCTGTTGGACTTTTCCACCACATGAATGGTTAAAACTCAATGTTGATGGCTCTAGTACCAATAGAGGAGCCCAATCAAGTTGTGGGGGAGTCATCAGAGACGACTCAAGAAGATGGATCGTAGGATTTAGTAGGAACCTTGGCAGGGGATCTTCTTTAAGAGCTGAGGTTTGGGGGCTACTAAATGGTATTCGAGTAGCTTGGAACTTAGGCTGTAGAAAGATCTTGATAGAAGGGGATTCCCAAGTTACTGTTAACTTAGTTCTCAATGGTTGCAAAAAGAACCACCCAGTTGCTCCTCTGATTCACCAAGTGCAAGCTTTGCTTCGTAGACAATGGCTAACGAAACTATCTCACACTTATAGAGAGGGTAACATGGTAGCCGATATCCTAGCTACTCATGGGAGCAAGTGGACAGACTGGGAGTGTCATATTCTCCAAGAACCTCCTCTTGAATATAGAGCAACTCTTAGTAGAGATTTGATGGGTATTTGTAGCCCAAGAACTTTAAACATTCTGTAACCTTTTTGTAATTCCTCCTTTGCAAAAAATAAAATATCACAAGTACGAGTACATCCTCTTAGGTGACCCGATGCATAAAATTTGGATCTTATCTCAACTATGTGGCACATGGTTATAACTGATCTTTCGTGCAAATAGCAAATTGGGTGTCATTTTTATTTAGCTACAGCATTCCTTGGTTATTCAATGAGTTTTGGCATTTAAAAAAGTTGCATAACATAATTTTGTTTCATATATGCACAAAAAGTAAGCAAAATCTTTTTTTTTTCCTCTCTCTTTTCTTTAATAAGTTTCTTTTTTTTTTTTTTTTTTTTTATGGATTGCATGAGACATGTAGAATCATATTCCCATTAAAAAAGAAGTCATATTTGTGACTTTTTTTTTAACACGAGCGAAAACTATTTTTTTTTTTTTTTGATAACAAGCGAAAACTATTTTCATTCCATCAAGATAGTGGTTATAGGCAGCAAGAACCAAGTATAAGGCTTTCAAATGCAGATATATTGGGTTCCATTTTTTTTTTCTGATATAATTATAACAGATATAAAACACCAAAGTCTTTTACCTTTTTTTTTTTTCTTACAGTGGCCTACTTGTAATACCTTAGATATTCGTGTGTACCACAATGTATACACCGGTTAATGTTATCGCTTCATATTTTGAATTATTATTATTTTTCACGGCTCTCCTATGTGTTTTCATGACATGAGTTTTGCACCCCATTTAATGTCTCACTTGTTCAGAATCTTTCAAAGTATGTACTATGTAAAGTCCAATATTTACAAATTTTATTAGGCTAGAACTCAGATATCCGGAAACGCTATTTTTCGTAAAAGATGTGTGTGGGATGTGTGTCGGATATGTACCACAATGTATTTGTGAGAAATAAAGGGTTTGGTGTTTGTCATTTTAAATGACATAAGTTATGTCATTTTTGGAGAGAGATAGAAACAGAAAAACAGAAATCATGGGAGAGAGAAAGTGAGTGGTTTTTTTTAAAATGACATAACTTTCTGTCATTTAAAATTACAAACACTTTATATGCCAAATGAGATATCATTGCGTAGATTTCAAAAAGTTATGTGGAATCAAAAAAAGAATTACTTGATTTGGATACTCAAGTCAAAAGTTATGGCCTTCAGAAGTTTTACGATTAAATTATTATTATTTTTTTTGAAAAAAAAATGTGATACGTGTCAACACCTGATAAGTGACGCCTAAATTAGACGTGATTGCCTCTTGAGTGACGCCCTATTTAAGGGTGATTGATAACGCCAAATTAAGCGTATTATTGTGCAATAAATATGTAATTATTTTCAAAACTGTCATAAATTCGTAATTTTTTATTTAAAAAACAATATATCCATTTTTTTGCCGCAAATCCACGCTATAAATCAATACCATATCTACATATAAGTACTCTTCATGAGCCTTTTTCAAGCACCATACTACACACCCCGTGAATCTAACTTTAAGTTCAAAACACTACTCATAACCAAAAAGTACAAAAAATATTAAATGTAAAAGATAAGGGTGAAAGTGGACTGGGTTGGGCCAAGCTTTTCCCTGAAAAGCCCAAGCCTACGTCAAAAAATTTCAAATTGGCCTCGCCCAAGCTTAGTGTGAGTCTAACTGTTAGCCTGACTTGGCCCGTTTATAAAAAACAAATGGTCTGGCTTGGCCCGTTAGCCTGTTAATTTTTAACTTCCAAGCAGAACCATGAATCAACTTTAGAAAGTACTCAAATTCTGTTGCTACACCAAAAACCATAATTTCAACATCCAAACAGAATCATGAATCATAACAAAACTCATACAATATGCATTTAAGTCATTTTCAAAAGCAAAATGCTCAAACTAAATAACATATATTTCATCAAATCCAACAAACAAATCCATACTATGTAAATTAAAATAACTACATGAATCCAACAAACACATCATGATGCTTGTAGTAAGTATAACATCTTCCAAAAATCTTTTAATATATTCATATACACAATCTAACATGTTGAGATGTTGGTTCCTCCTATATAAGAAATAAAGTAAGATTTCTATTAAAATATAATCGAATATAATTAAGTTATAAATAATTGCAATTGATTAAATTTATATCTTTTGCTTTTTCTTCAAGGCATACTTACTCTATTTTATTTTAGAGTAAATATCATTTTTGGTCCCTAACAAAAAACACGTCCTCACTTTAGTCCATTACAAAAAAAAATTAGTCAGTTGGTTCTAAACAAATTTAAAGTGGACCCATTTAGTTGAAATCGTGGTCCCTCACAATTTCAAAAAAGACCCATATTAGTCCCTCAAAAGGACTAAAATAGGTCCACTTTGAATTTGTTAGGGACCAATCGACTAATTTTTTTTTTTGTAAGGGACTAACGTGGGGACCGTGTTTTTTGTTAGAGACCCAAAAGGGTATTTACTATTTATTTTATTTAAAATAAATAGTACAATATAGGTCGGCATGTAGGCATATAGGCCCGACCTTTTGAAAGTGGGCTTACAGCCTTTTTATTAAACAGACTTTTTAAAGGCTCAAGCCCGACCTATTATACAAAATATACTAGGTCAAGTCTGGCCTGATGTAGGCCAAGCCATAGAATACATAAAACATACATGCAGTATAGAATAAAACAAGCATCACTACAAATATTTTGTGAAATCTTCAACAGAACATCACTAATAATTTAAAATGACACAAGATTTCGCAAACTTTGATAAGAAAAGAAAAGACACTGTTTTAATAACAAAACTGATAAGAAAACTGTAAAAACTTCAGAAGCTTAATTTCATGTTTTCAAAAACATGGTGAAACCAGGCTCTCAATGTAAATACATTGATTGAACCAAATATCGCGGCCCTTAACATCAGGATACACAAGGTAAAAAGGATGTCCTGCACCAATCTGTCTGTCTACCTTCGGGTCATACAGAGCTGGTCCAAAGGTAGTATACAATAGAACCGCACCCTTTTTTGATATGCACCATGGCTTTGTATAAGGAATAAACCCACCAATCTGAAGTTCCACACGAGGGATTACCATAAATTTAACCCATGACTCTTTAACACCATATTCCTTCATTAGCCACACAACCATTAAGTGGGTTCTTTCACAGTCATAAGAAACACAAAGGCAGTCTTTCAAGACAGCTTGTTCAAGGTAAAGAGGATTGTCATCACCAAAATCAGGCAGCAACACATTGCTAAATGTATCCTTTCCCAGGTCAAAAGAAAGCATTTCCCATTCAGGACGGTTAATAGATTTAGCTCTATTTGCCACCCAATTCAAATTGCCACACACAAATTTCCCATCATGCATAGACACGGGATAACCAGCGAATTTCAAATTCCGTTCTGTTTTCCAAGATCTATCACCAAATGCATAAACTTTGGTAATAGTTTTGTGCACTTCATTAGACCTCGGATCACGAAAAACAAGAACCACCTTGTACTTGTCACTCACGTGATCATAACCAAAACCATCAAACAAGGCAATCTCATCACCATCTACATACATAGACGGAGTTTTTCTGGACAACAACCTTGTAGATGGGTTCCACAACCGGGCATGGGTTTGACTTTGATGAATGAAACACACCAACCCATTGCAGGACCCACAGAGTTGGTAATTGCGCCTCATGGTGAAGTCAACATCCTCAGAAAGAGTTAATGGGTTGTTAAATATTGATTTCACGGAGCACGATCCTAACTCTCCGTTGCCGTTTCTGGTGGGTATCAGCAACCGGTGGTGGGTCAAGGTTGGATCCACCGTGGACATAGAAAGGTGCAATTTTGCGAAGTGGGTATCGGAGATCATTGACTTCCATTGCTTGCACACACACCTGCATCGCAAAAGAGACCTCACAGGGAGCCTCAGCAGGATTTCATATATGACATCGCATGGAAATAGTGCTTGTGGCGACGCGTCCTTCTCACTCGCCATAATCGTTTGTTAGTTCACTTGTCTCAACCCAGTATATTTATAGACTAGGGTTCATGGGTCTCATACCTATTTTTAAGAGGGAATCCAAATTTATTTAATATGAGAAAATGAGTGAGATAAAGTACCAGGATACAAAAAAAAAAAAAGTTTACGAAATAATTAAGATCTTTTTACTTATACGATCCTGTTAAATAACATAACAGTGAATTTAGGATATCGTGACACACAAATAATGTTACGCACAATGTACGCACAATGTTACGATCACATCTTAAGTTGATTTTCGTTAATCAACGGTTATTATTTATTGCGAATTAATAATTAATTAATGAGTTTGATTTGAAAAATGATAACCGTTGATTGACGGAAATCAACGGTTAAAATATGGTCATAACATTGTGCGTAACATTATTTGTGTGTCACAATATTCTATCCCTACCAAAAAAATAAAATAACGGGGAATCTACTTCTAATAATTTATATAATAATTAGTTTAAATTTAAATAATTAATTTTGTTGTGTTATGAAGAATTTGTAGCATATCAACACCCATTTCTTCAGTTTCAGGATTAAGATTTTTATAATATTTTTATAACATACTTAATCTTAAGTAATTCATATGATAAAATTTAAAAATGCAATTGTTTGTCTATTTTATGTACTTGATCATTAAAGCCAACTAATAACGTTTCTCATATAATTTGAGCAAACATATATATATTTTTAAGCAAACATATTTAACATCATCTATTATGTTATCAGATATTTTCTTTTATTTTTTTATTTTGTTTTATAAAAATATCATGTAATTTGAATTTGGTTAAAAGATATAAATATATGAAATATATTGAAAAGATATATGTTGACTTATTTGTAGAATGTAGATTTTTTTTTTTTTTTTTTTTTGATAATCAAGTTGATTTTATATTTTTTTAGTGAATCTTAAATATATTTTATATTTATTTAAATTTCAATATATAATAACCAAATAAATATCAATCATAAATAAGATAAGATAAGAAGAATAGAATTAGGATTTCAAATTTGAATAGAAATTAAATTTAAATACGATAAGACTTATTTTATTTTCTAGTATGATTTATATAGTATAATTTATGTATTATGAATATTTTGATTAAATTATATAAATTTTTGTTTTAATTATAATTCTAAAATATACTTAAGTTCGACTCCTCACCCCAAAAAAGTAGATTATGGCTCCTCCTCTAGTCTTAGATATTTTGTTTTTTTATAAACCATAAGTATCTTCTATAAGAGGCAATTTTGTTCGAGTCGAAAACATCCACATCATGATGGGGCTAGCTCTCCTAATTTTTTTTTTTTTTTGCATTCTTAAGGACTTAAACCCAATACCTTTCTAAAGCGGAATCAAGCATTTACCACTTGAACCAACACCCTTTAGTTGGTCTTAGAAATCTATGAATAGTGATACCCGAGGGCTTTTTCACCCTTTTGCCCCTCATTAATTAATTAATAACCATTTTGCCCCTGATTCGAAACTATCTACCAATCTGCCCCTCTTTAATTGACTACCTTGCATATTTAATCGATTAAATGGTCAAAACAGGCAAAAATGGCTGTTGGGAGATTTAATCGACTAAATCTCCCTATTTAATCGATTAAATCTCCCAACAGGCAACAAAGGGAAACAAGTCAGTATGATTTTTTAATCGATTAAGTAGGGAGATGTAGTCGATTAAATCTCCCAACAACCATTTAATTGATTAAAAATGCAAGTTAATCGATTAAATAAGGGCAGATTGGTGGATAGTTTTGAATCAGGGGCAAAATAGTTATTAATTAATTAATGAGGGGAAAAATGGTCAAATAGCCGATACCCGAGTGATTGACCCTTTTGCCCCTAATTAAATTAAAAAAATTATAATTTCGCCCCTGTCCCAAAATTATACATTAATTTACCCCTGTTTAATCGTGGGCTAGTTTAAGTAATTGATTATATGGATTAAGTAATTGATTAAGTGATGAGGTTTTAATTTAATCGATTACTTAATCCATATAATCGATTAACTTACACCAGATTAGTTTTTTAAAAACTTATTTCGATTGAAGGGGGTTAAAAGAAAAGAGGTAATTGACTACCCCTTAAACCCTAACTCTTAAATTCGTGATTTTTGCTAGAAATCTTCCTCAAATCATATGGTGGGTTCTTTCCCCAACATCATTCTTTCCTTTCTCCAAGTAATCGATATGTATTTTTCGGTTGGCTTGATTTTTTCCTTTTTCTTTTTTTTTTTGGATTTATGAACCCTAGATCGAAATGAACAATTTTGGTTCGATTGGATTGATTTTTGGCTTTGATTTTTCGTTATAATGGTTGTTTAGTTTAGGCTTTGATGGTTGTATATGGTTTACGGTTTGTGGTTATATAGGTTTTGTAAAAAAAAAAATTGTCGATTTTCAAGACTAATTTTTGAGTTTTTTTTATTATGCTTGTATTTTGTGTTGTTGATAAATTGCCATATGTTTTTGTAGGTTTGTGTTGTTATAATGGCTAGAGGACGGACCTGCAAAGAGATCCACGATTGAAAGACAGTCCAAGCACCACACGACGATTCTTCTTCGAGAATTGTTGAGCCTGACCCTGTAGACTTGCCATTTGGATATTTGCTCGATGAAGATCCCAAGGAGCATGCGAGATTTATATCTGGTTTTATTAGCAGAGTCATTTGTGAGCCGAAGTCATTGGATTCAACATTCTTTTTTACAGAGGGATTTGACGTAGTGGTTGTTACGAGCCTATATGAGAAGCTCATATTCTTGAAGGCCCAGGAAAGGGCTACAAGAAGAGGAAATAAAAGAAAGATTCATTTATCAATACTAATCTTAGTGCGACAGCAATTGAGCAAGCATCAGACCACAAAAAGGCATCAAAGGTCCAGAATTCCACTACCCATAGGTAAATTCTATAAATAAGAGGTAAAGCCTACATGTATGGTGTACTCTCTCTTATTATTATGTTGCCACTATACACACACACACATCACCCCTTTGGCTATGTCGTTAATCCTAGTTCACAGTGATTTGTTACCCTCAAAGGTATCTCTTTCATAGATACTTGAGAAAGCTCTTAGATCCAAGATACATTCACTAGTCTCTAACTAGACATCTCTATTCTTAGGATATAACATTGACACCATCTGTGGAGAAAGGTAAACTCCTACTCCCACTACCAACATGGTGAACATAAGAAGTAACAGCCACTAGCAACCATTGCATTGCGATGATATAATATTATACATGTTATCCCCATGTTCCGTAATATGTTCCCATCTTCTTGTGTACTTTCCCATTCTTTGGTTGTTCCCTTTGAATGCATGTCCCCATCTGCTTATGTACTATCCTTTTCTCTGGTTGCTTGCTGGAATTGTACCATGTTGAATGCATGTGTTTGTTTACCACTTACTTCAAAGACATTGGTTGTTCCTATATTTATGTCGTGGGGACATACTCCCTAACACCTTTTTCTTTGTGTTTGTTATATGCTGGATTTGTATTGGCCACTTATATTTGTGGCATAACGTGTTTGTGAATTGAATGAACTCATATTGTTAATTTTTTACAACCTCAGGAGTATGGAAGGCGGTAATGACAAGAGTTGGATGTACAATCGTAAAAATGATAAAGGACAATTAACTCGAGCCTTCTTTGATGGTTTGGAAGTGTTCATCCAGTTCGCTTGGGAGCGAAGAGTACTAGAAAGTAGGAAAATCAGTTGTCCGTGTGTGAAGTGTAAGTGTATGAAGTTTCAAACTACGAGCCACGTGAAGGTGCATCTGTGTAGGAAGGGCTTCATGGAGGGTTATGAATGTTGGCATTACCATGGGGAGATTCAACAGACACCAAGTGGTTATTATTACGGGAAATTCAATCAATGAAACAACCTCAATGAATATGAACAGTTAGCTATGTATGCAGCGGGACCGTCGATTGGGCATCATTTTCATCCTGGTACTCATGTTCAAGCTCCTCACATGGCTAAGGACCCTAATCCTAAAGCTGAAAGGTTCGACAAAATGCTTCAAGATGCGCGACGTCCATTATGGGATGGTTGCAAGCACTATGAAGCTAGGGCACACACAACGCTATCTACTACCCTAGAGACACTTAGCTTGAAAAGTGATCATCGAATGTCTGAGTCTGCTTACAGCGGATGGATGCAGTTCACGAGTCGAGTTGTTCCCAACAACAATAAATTGGCGAAGGATTTTTACCAAGCAAAAAAAAAGGTTAAAAAGCTTGGGCTTGGATATGAAAAGATTCGTTGTTGTCCAAAGGGTTGTATGTTATATTACATGAAAATGTTGATTGCACCAACTGTAAGTTTTGTGAACATGACAGATACAAAGTTATGAGGAACGGAGGGAACACAAGCCTTCAAGTGTTTAGCGAGATGTGGTACTTTTCTCTTGTGCCTAGGCTTCAGAGATTGTTTTCTTCAGAACAAACGGCTGGTCACATGAGATGGCACCGGGAGTATCATAGGGATGACAAATTTGTGACGCATCCATTTGGTGCTGAAGCCTGGATTCATTTTGACAAGAAAAATCCTTTGTACATACATGATTTCATTTTGACAAATTTCATGACCTAGTTCAAGGGGAAATGACTGTGGATAAATACTTAGCCAACTCATAAAATTTGGCCAAGTATTCATAAATCAAACTTTGTACATGATGTTTGTAAAGTTTGCTTATTAAAGCATGGGGCAGGTTATAATTACAAACTTTTTTGTTTACAAACTCTTACAAACTACACTATCTTCTCCCGGGAGAACACTAATTTCATTATGTTCTCCCGAAAGAACATAGTGTAATTTGTAAAAAAAATTCAAAAAAATTTGTAAACAGATCCTTCCCCTTAAAGCATTGTCTTTTCTATTCTAATCAAACTTTGTACATTCACCAAATATTGGTAGACAGTAGTGAAGCTTGTGTTATTCTATACTGCATGCATTTTTT